TTCTTTTAATTTGAAGATGCAAATGCAGTCCTTAGCTGTCAATCATATGGTTCACAAGACAATGGAAAAGATGTACTAGGAATTACAGAAAATAAAACTCATCACTTATCAGGAATGCATTACTTTTAATAACTGACTGATTATAATGAAGATAGGATCTGATGATAAAACTAGGGTGGTAAGACAGAAGCAAATTGACAACCAATGCATATATTTTTAAAATATATATATAAAGCAATGACCACTGATACATAGACAACGATCAAGTTTACAAGCTTTCTATCATGTTAATAAAAAAGTAGCTGCAGCTTTAAAGGTTAAGTTTAAGTATTATGATGCCAGTCATTAGTTGCAAACAACCCAAAATAAGTGCTTGATCAGAGTTGCAAGAAAGCTCATGCCTTGAAATTCGAAGGGGTCATGAATGATATGTCCAAGAGGACAGCTAAAACTTCTTTTTCTTGTGAGAAGACTTATTAGACTTCTTTTTTTACATAAAAAGTTATTAAACGTTACTTTAGATAGGGGATACTAAAGTTTAGATTAAAAGTGGCATGGGGCTGATGCTGGCAGTAAAATATTTGGGCTCCACTAAGTCAAAGCACCACTAGGAAACCTTTCATGGATCGCCAGGTTGGATCATGGCTTGAGGACATCACAAGAAATATTAATGATTGGAAGATCAATGACTATGAGACTCTTTTTCTTGCCCTCTCTAGATGCATTTCCGATGGCCAAGGATTACTCTATTTGGAAGCTCAATGCTAGGGATATTCTCCTTTACTATCACTTGCCCAAGAGAAATGACATGTGCATGGATTTCCCATTAAAGCAGATCTTGAAGGTTAAAGCTTCACCTAGAGTGGGTTTTTTCACTTGGAATACAGCTAGAGAGTGCATTTTAACTATAGACAAGTTGATCAAGAGGCACAAAATACTAGTTAATGGTTGTTTCTTGTGCAAGAGGGATGCATAATCATGCAATTATCTTTTTTTGCGCCACCCGTTTGCTTACAGATTTTGGACTCCTATAATCTTCTGGGAATTAATTGGGTGATGGCTGAAACCATGAGGGATGAGATTCGAGTATGGAGAGGGATTCAAGAACTAAGAATTCCGCAAGTCTTCTTCATTTGGTTACGTTTCGATAGTTTGGAAGGAAAGAAATATGAGAACTTTTGAATGTATAGAGGCTACTTTTGACAGATTTAAGGACACATGGTTCAGACTTTAGCTTTTTTTTTATTAAGGGTCATCATCTTTATTTTTATCAGGATGTTAGGGACCTGATTGATATTTTTAGACATTTAAATATTTTGTAGACAGGTTTGCACCCCCTTAGTGCCTGTAAATAGATATTATTTTTATTTCAAAAAAAAAAAGACCAAACTTAGCTGGACCTCGAGTTCAAGCTTGAAAAAAAAATTAAGTAATCAAGCAAATTTCCAGCCTATGGAGTCAGGCTTAAAATGTATTAGTTTAGCCACTAAAAATATTATGCTTATTAATTAAAATATAGTATACTTATAAATTTAGTATGTTTTTAACTTAATTTTTATTTTATATTAATAAATATGATATATACTTCTATAGATGTTATATGCACAAACATATCCATGATTTATTTTATTTAAAATATCAAAAATATAAATTAAAACCAGAGGTTTCATTTCCTAATCTTCTTTTCATGTCAACACACATTAAACAAAGACAGGCTTCTGTTTTCACTGCAATGACAACCACTCTACAAACAATCCTTCATCTTCACCACCATCAACATTGAACTATCATTGGTTGCAAGCCACCACCATTTCCCTTCAGCAAATCACCATTGACAATGTCATCAACGTGCAGTCCTCCCTTCACCTCTGCTTCTCCCCGCCTCAGACACAGTTGCACTCCATCCATTTGTACACCTTTAACATATCAAGAACATGCCAAACTGACTCTTTACCTCACACTGTTGTTGATCAAAACATAGAAGCACATGCACTTGTTGCTATGCCTCTTCCCAAGTCTCCCAACTAAACAAACATCTGAGATCCACTTATCTCTAGTTGGTTTTCTTTTAATTAGTGTAGATTTTTCCTCTTTAACCTCAATGATAGATTATATGCACTACTTTGAAAGTTTATTAGCTAATGAACATTTGGGGTTCTTTTTTACTTGATTATGGTCTTTACTTTTCACAGTAATTGACCATCATTTGATTTTCAAGAAGATGTAGAAATGATTTTCTAAATATAATGGAGGGAGAAAACTTAATTATGCAAGAATTATCCCTTTTGTGATCAGAAAACTATCCAAGACCTAAAAGTATTCTGTGTTACCACGAGGGGGATCAGCAGGAGGGGGGAGTTCGCGTGAACCCTTTACTGTTAACTATTTGTGAATAATAAATTCTCTGAAGATAGCCACAACTCTAACACATATATATTGATTTTGAACTGGGATTATCTGAACCTACTAATAATCTTTTTCTCTTTTGAGAAAGTTTGCCACTTTTAGGGGAGATAAATTAAGAACTTTAATAACGGTCAAAGGTTACTTGTCTACCATTCGCAGTTATGAAATTAATTTTTTCTTTGCAGTTTTGGGGATTTTGATGTATATTCATTTCCATGCAAAAAGAAAAAAACTAAAAAAGAAAAGTCTATACATCTTTTCTTTTTCAAATTTCTATGCTTGTTGAGTTGGAAAGCTTTACAAGAGAATAAAGGGAAAAAAACTTGACAAGCTCAAACTTGAATCTGCTTCTCTATGAGGTCCAAACTGCTCTCATTTATATGGAGCTCAAGCTCTATGAAACTTAATATTTTATCAAACTTGAATCAAACCGAATTTGAGCTTCCTAATTTGTCCCTTGAAGCAAGCTGAAGCTAAAAAAAACTTGAATCTAGCTTCAAACTGAATTTGAATACTCCATTATTTGACCAGGACCAAGCCTGAATAGTTAAAAATTCGGCTCAGCTCAGCTCTTTTCCACCCCTGGATGTGATAAGTACTAGCCAGTAACAAGAAGCAAAAGGAGGACGCTTCCAGCAGAGAGTAATTTCAGTTTTTAGGAAGAAAAACAGAAGGCAGTCAGTAGATTGCAGTACAAGGGAATTTTTAGTTTACTGGAGTTTTAAAAACTGAAAGAGTCAATGCTGCACAGATTTTTATCAAAGATTGTTTAAGGGGAAATGAACATTAACATTAGGAGGGGGGACTGCAGGAACCATCCATTGTTCAGTTCATCCACCTAGGCAACCCAGTCATCTAATACTGATTTCTGATTGAAGTTTCTCAGATACGGGAACAACAAGTTAACCCTTGCAAATTCCACCTATGTCTTGTATAAATGTCCTATTATAAATGTCCACATTAAGCCTGAATGTAGTAGGTTGACAGCCAAAATATAACACAGCCATAATAAAGAACCTTGACGAAGGGCAAGAAAGAATTGCTGAAAAATCCAGTTGAGTTAGACATCAGAAAAGAATAATTACAAATAAGCAATTTTTCATTACAAACACGTACCAGCAAATGCTGTAAATCATCAGTGACATCCAAAGCTCCGGCACAATCTGCAGATGCGACAAGCTGAATGGCAGAGAGGAAAAAAATGTGTCAATTTTTCATCACAAAGAACGAGGAAGCACTCCTTAAGTCAAAACTACTTAGAATTTCTGGAATATTTAAGACCGGTAACAAATTTCAGATGATTAAGACCTAAAAAAAAAAGTGGTCAGGGGTCAACTGCTTGCTCTAGCGAGGACTTAAGGGACCTTATGAATGTTTTGGTATTCTTGTGAATTCTTTTGTATATGGACAGCACCCCCTTGGTACCTCTAGAATTTATACTTCTTATTTTTTAAAAAAAAAAAAAGAAGAAAGAAAGAAAAAGTGGTCAGACGTTCATGCAAGGATGTCCATGATAAAAATTTTACTTCAAGGCAAAAAAAGTAGGTACTTGGATGTAGTGAACTTACATATGCTTGAAAAGCCTATAAATGTAGTGCAGGATGTGTAAAAGGAAAAGAACGTTAATTTTATAGTTATCCATAAAAAATTATCTGAAAAGATTTACTGAACTCCAATAAAACATGGTAAAATTCTACAAACCATAGAGCCAGCAATAACAATCCCTTAGGTCAATAAATACCAGACTCAGATAGGACTAAACAGCATTTGTGCCAAAAGCATTTCCCAGGTTAACCTATCTGCTCAATATGTTTCATCATCACATTTACCTCCTAGTATATCTAATCATTGGTAAAAAATAAACGATTTTATTAATGCCTCACAATATGGCAAGAGCCAATAATCTGACAGCAATATATGAGCATATAGGCAAACCTTCTAAGAAAAACACCATTCAAATTCTTAAGAACTAGCATGCACTCTCTGCAACAAATAAAAAGAAGAAACCAAGCCCTAGAATACAAGCTTTGGGACTTAAAACTTATATTAGAAAGAAAAAAGCAGTAGTATGCAAAAAAGCTTATTGTTCAGTTCTCAGACTCGCATGAATTGCATAGTCCCATCTTGATCATAAGTAAAATTGCAACATACGGAAGAAAACAAATTCAAATAAGCCTCATCAAATGCTTAACTATCATCTATTCCTACTAAGAAAACAAGAAGATGACAATAAAAGGTATGAAACGTACCAATTTGAGCGTAGAGATTGCTTGATTAACATATAATATGAGCCTCAGTTTCTGTTGCAGCGCCAACAAATAAGTTCTGGCGGCGTTCAACTCCTGAACGTGCCTGGCGGAGTCAACCAAGTCCTGATCGAGAAGCCGAATGGTCTCCTTCAAGTGGCGGATCCTGCTACAACCCTCCACAATCTTAACGTTCAAGTCCTGCAACTGCCCCTGCGCCTCAAAAAACGAATTGGAGCGCAACGAGATCTCTTTCACCAAATGCAGCTCCACCACGTCCAAGTACTGTGACAACTTCTCCTGCAGGACTAAGTTCTCATTTACATTCGAAAACGGGCAAGCAGCCCGGAATGTGGCCCCATCCTCCAGGGCAAAATCCTCCTTAAAATAAAGAGCAGGAACCTCGCGCAAACAAGCCACCAGCGCCTCCCCCTGCCCACCGATCTTCTCCAAATCTAGGCTCTCTTTGCTCGCGTGCTCTCTAATATCCTCGAATCGATTATAAGACTCCGATATGGACGAAGCGTAGCTCTGAAAATCGGATCGGGCCAGGTCCGAGGAGGCTTTACTTGAGGTTATCGGCGCGAATTCGGGGAGGGTGACGGAGGTGGTGGAGGACCACCAACCGACCCAGGAGCCACCATTAGGATTGTTAAGAATAGAAGAGAGGCTTTGAATTCCAGCATCAGAGACTGATTTTACCAAGGTTGAGGAGCTGCTGCAGCCAAGGACGGTTACGGGTGAGCCGGTCGACGACCTTCCCGACTGGGAAGGCTGTGAATCCATTTTCAAGATCCGAGAGTCATCAACAACTGGTTACCTCTTCCTTTCTTGGCCAGTACTGTGAGCTTGAAATGAAATACGCAGTAAGAAATCAGGAATCAAAAAGAGAGAGTGGATTTTATTGGATCTAAAAAAAGAAAAAAAAAAAAAAAAAAGAAGTCCTCTTTGTTCAGTGATAGAGACAAAAATCTCGAAGTTGGAGGTAGATCTCGCTGAATTCTCGCTCTGCAACTTTTGAATATATGGGAGTTGGATCTGGAGAGGAACACAGAAGGGAGAAGGGAGGGGAGGGGAGGATGGCGATGATGCACACTTGCTCAGCGTGCAAGGAAATGGAAGTCGGGCCGGGTAATCGGTTTGGTTTTGAACCCGATATCCGGAAAAGTGGCTGCCGTTAGACAGTCCTTTCGTTTGTGCTTGAGTAAAAAATGCATAAATCAGTACTGTCAATTAAAAATATTAGTGATGGTAAATTACAGTTTTATTATATGTGAACTATTTTATTTTAAAATAAATTTAGTTTATCTCGAAATATCATGATGTCAATAACAACTTTAGAAAAAAGAAAGCTTATGGCTTGAATCCATTAATTACTTTTACTCTCATCCAATAATTACTTTCCATTCTTATTTTATGTAAGTATTATATATTATATTTGACTTAACAAATAATAAAACAAATAAAAAAAAAAGCAAAGATATGTAAGCATTATACACTAAAATTTTACAAGACAAAAAAAATATCAATCCATATTTATAGAAAGTGAAAATGTTTAAATTAGTCTCTAAACTATAGTCAATATCATATTTTAATCTTAAATATTTCTCGTTAAAATTTAGTTTTTAAAATTTTAATTTTATTTAAAAATTGTTTAAAAAATATTAAAAATAATTATTATACTGACTAATATCAAATTATATGAGTTAAGATTTTTAATTTTTAGTTAATTAAAAAACACAATAAATTCATAAAAAGTTTAATATGATACTTTTTGAAATGGAGGTTGGATAACGTCATGAATGCATTTTTTTTCTTTGGCTTTTTCTTAGTCTTACACTTTTTATTTGCCTTTTTTGTTTCTATAAGCACTTCATTTTACTTTTATTCGAGTCTTTTTAGCTCATCCATGGTTATAGTTTGGGTTTAAATTTTAAAAATAATTAAATACATATCACATATTTGATAAGAAAAAATAAATATTTAAATTTAGAGTTCTATCATATACACATACACATGACCCTATTGGTGTCTCTGTCAATGGTGGACATCTATATTATCTATTTTTCGTAGGGTTACGATAAGCAAGTTCTCCATTTTTTCTATATATATTAGCTTGTAACTAAAAAATGTGGTTACTTAAAGGAAATATTGCATTGTTGGAATCATCCAAGAAGATGAAGATGAAGATGAATAGAGATGAAGATGAAGAGTGTGATGTGGTAAGTTGGATAAAGTTTTTTCTTTTTTTTTTTCAAACAAGTCTTAAGTAAAGCTTATCTTTTACATATATTTTTAATATTATTAAACTTTTGAAACAAAATTACAAATTGCACGACTAAATTATAAAAAAAAATATATTTAGCACTAAAATGTAATATTGATTATAGTTTATGGACTAAACTATGTGTTTACACTAACAAAAATTGATAATAATTATAGTCATAGGGTTGTTATAATCATAATTATAAAATTGAAAAGGAACTCAATTTTGTATTCAATAAGTAAATTAATAAAGTAATAGTAAATCATAAATGCATTATAAGATATTTACATGACTAATATGATTAGAATATTTACATACAAAAACAATAATTTTCTAACTAAAAGAAAGCAGTAAGTTTATTCTAATAACACCTAAATATGTTAAACATTTGTAGAAATACAAAAAAATATAATTAGATAAATATAAAGTCACTTAGATCTTATACTTAAAAATATTTTATGTTTGCATCATTCTCATTGCCCAATACAAATGAACTTCGAATTTTAAAACCTCAAAATAGTAAGAAGATGTACGTTTTGAACTAATCTTCCTAAAAACTAATTTCTACCAAACCTAAATTATCTTGAAAAAATATGAACGTAACATAAAGTATGCATCCAAAAGGATTAATGAATGAAGTAGGAATGATAAAGTCAAATGCTAAGAAAATTTGTTTATCAATAATAGGAGGAATAAATAAAACTTTTATGTAGCCTTTATCAAGTGGACCCTCGTTACTTCTTTTGCATGTAAAAAAAAATCAATTTTTCCTCTTATATCTTATAGAAAAAAGAGGAGGTCTAGTGTAGTCCTAAAGGAAGATGCATTGGGGTAATACTACCTCGTATGCTTTGCTTCCTCCTACCTTTAAAGACTCATAGGAAAAAAGTTATGAGCATGTTCCTTCACACCCATAAAAAACAAACTCAATACATAATCTTTTAGAGGTAATACTAGATTGCATTAATGAATTTTTTAGTTGTTAAGAAAGGAATCACTATTTCAAAATAGATTTTAGAAGCTAACTAATAGGTTAAAAAAAATATCATAAGCAATCACAAT